TGTAAGTATTATTGTTGTGGAGCTCTTTTAAACACTTAGATACACCAACATTATGGAGCTACTAGAAAAGATGGACTTTAGGATAGAGGGATTTGGGCCCAAAATAGGGACTGTTCCTCCTAAATAGGGACACTTGAGAGCTGTGCATACATGCAACCAGTTGTGGATCAGACACTTTTTTGTGTTAGGTGCCCTCTCTGGCCATCTGCAGTACTGCAAAATGGTTAGGGTTCTATTCACTAAATGGTGAATTGACAAGCAACATATTGCAACAGTGATAGAGATTTATTTCTGCCTTGGCATTTTTGCTCTAAATTTTTTAATTTTTTACTAATTTTTTAGAAAATAAACTCCTATGTTAAACATTATATGTTTAAACTTTTTTTTAAAGAAATGCAACGTTTTATATTGTAATAGGAATCTACACCTTTTTTTTTTTTTTTTTACTGTGAGTATCATTGCTGTGGAGCTCTGTTATACACTCAGACACACCAACAATATAGAGCTCCTAGAAAAGAGGGACTTTAGGGATTCATGCACAATATGGTGACTGTACCTCTTAAATAGGGACACTTGAGAGCTGTGTATGCATGCAAGCAGTTGTGGATCAGACTATTAAAGGTTAAGAGGAAAATCACACTTTCTAACAACACTTTTTTTTTGTGCGAGGTGCCCTCTCTGGCCATCTGCAGTACTACAAATGAGATAAGGGTCTATTAACTAAATTCACTTTCTATTCTTGTATGTACGTAGTGGGGAATCGTGATGCAGCCTAGAACAAAATCCAACCCCATTCAACCCCCCCAATAACGACAGACCACTTAGTATGGATGAAACAGGCCACAGCATTTATTATCACAAACTAAATTACTGCATAACACATCCATAATTTTATTTATTAAATCTCTTCTTTTCTGTAACCAAAACGTTAGACATAAATAAGCATAAATTAACATATATACATATATAACTCCACCCATAGTGTTATACAGTGACCCAACCGTCCTTGCCAATAAACATAGAGTGGTTCCTAATCACCACTCTCTCTCACCTCCCCCCTCGTCATAAAAATCATATATTTCCAATGCCTGCCATCAGCCGACTTTACCCACGCTCGATGGGCACGAGACCTCAGGCAACCTAAAGTTTAACCTTTGAAGCAGGGGAGGTTTGAGACCTTAAAAAACTTGTTCATCTCATTCCATATCCTTAAACGTAACCTCAAACTCAATTGGCAAGGACATACCCCCGCCACAACCCCGCTGTTTTACACCTAAAATCAGCGGGGGACCCCACCACAACCAGCCATGGCCTGTTCCACCACTTCTTGCAGCGCTAGATCAGCAGAGGCCAAGTCCGACCTCCAGCAAGCGCACCCCACTCTACGAGAAAACCAGGCCACATTTGGCCAAACCCAAAAGGCGAACTGGAAGTGTTTATGTTTTATATATTCATTTTGCCAGTTATGTATTTAGTCATTTAGTTATGGCCACCACAAACCTAGAAACCCATCTAGTCTGATGACCGACGGCAGCGCACCAGGGCACTCACATTGCGGAGTGCACTGCCAACAGAAAAAGGGGCGATAGGCACAGCCTAGCCCCTGAGAACCTCGGGGAAGAAACGTAATGCGTAACATGTCCAGATCAAAGAGAACCCAAGTCCTAAACCACCACCGGCCCATGTCATTCCACCCAGGGATGACAAAACCCTTGGTACCCCATGAGGCGGGGCAGCTGACCCTGTATGAGGAGGAGCCACACCCCTTTCACGTAGCCGGAGCCAGACCACCGAACCTCCGCCCCAGAAGGAGGAAGATCCAACCACTCGCCCCTGCCTCCCTTTCCAACTTACCCACGAAAACCCCGCCCTCCCCAGTCCGGGGGGGCGGGGGGGGGAGAACCGTAAACGCGGAGATAAATCCAAGCAGAGACCAGCAAGGCTAACCCAAGGAACCCACCACCCTGACTCCCACCATTCGAGCCCTCTGAGCCATCGGCGCAGGCACGCCCAGCCTGGCGGTGTCCGTAGCCGCCCCAACCAAATTAAATGCCCCTTGAAAACCCCACCATCCTTATCCAGGAGTCCGAGCCGCCAAGAGGAACACCCCAACTAAATGGACGCGGGGGTGGAAAACCCATCTCCGAGAACCAAACAGGGGAGGAGGCCGAACAATCCAAGGGACGGAACAGTACTCCCAATGAAAAACAGGCCAATGACGGAACCCTGCACCGCCCCCGATCGGAACGGTATATTACAGACCATCCTGGAAACCCATTACCGCATGGCAGGAGCCCCAACCATCACCCCGTGCATCCCACCAACCCCAGGAGAATGCAGAAAGTCAAACCCGCGACATCCAAGAATTGAACAGATTCTATCGATGAAACAACCAAACTCAAACCAACCTACCCTTCCCAACGACAACAGCCATCGAGCTGCGAAACCTGAAGGAAGTCCGTTCCAACGCTCCCTCAACTCCACCAAAACACCCTCCCACTTGCCGACTACCGTAACATGAACGGGAAGCCGAGCCCCGCTAATCGCAGAAATCGCCCCCAACGCCCGCAATAGACGGAACCAAACATGTAGATGAGCAGACCAATCCCGGGACCCAAAAGGAAAACGTACCCAACCGTCCCGAACACTCCAACCTTACTGGAGCGGTCCCCACACCGCCCTAGAGATCGCCCACAGACCAGCTGCAGCAGACCGTCGGACCAAGGGACCACACCTCTACTGCCTTACAAATAGACCCCGTGACACCACCACCTGAAGTAGGCTCGATAATGAACAAGACAGAGCATCGGCCACCAAATCGGCAACAACCGGACAAAAACCTTGACCAGCCGCCTCTAGACTCAAATAGCACCGAGCCAGAGTACCAAAGTACCACCGGGGTATAGGGTACTGTCACATGTGAAAAACAGCCAGCAGCACCCCACGATGGTCCCCAAGGAAAACCCCCCACCCGTTCGTGAGCCGGGTAACCCATGCCTACCATGCCACCAGAAAGGGGGGACCTCCAAGAACACCAGAGTCCGCCAGAGCCAGCGTATTGAGCAAGAGACAGCACCACCGAGAGCCCAAATGGCCCAAAACCCCAAAACCTGCTGCGGCAGGCAAAACCGTTGGAAGCCAGCGGAAAGGACACAGGGGGCCAGATTGCACGAGCCAGTGGTAAAGGAGGCCCAGCAGGAACCCCCATACAGTCCCAAGGGCAACCCCAATAGGCAAAGCCCAGCGTACCCAAGAGAGACCACGGGTAGCGCAGCCAAAAGCCACAACGCCCCTCCAAACCACCGACGCCTCCTGCCTGACGCCCCAAAACCGCAGCCAGGGGCACCGACGTTCCCCTTACAGGAATTGATCCCACTATCCAGGAGACAGGAGCACACATCCCGACCCACGGAGAAGGCCTGGGCCCCGGAACTCCGAAACTACAAACAAAACACTACCCCAAGAAAAACACTGCAGCAGCAGAGTGCGCACATGCGACACTGACGGCCCCACACATAAGCGACATCGGGAGCAACTTACATGGAGGCACTTTAGCCACCTAATCCTGACCGTCAGAAACACAGCCCGGAAACCACACCTCGACGGGCGTACCGGCAGCCTCGTCAGCAAGGCCCCAGGGCCCCGCAGCCCCACCCACGCAGACCACTGCGCCGAGCCACCAACTCAAACCCAGCCCTCGAAGGAAACGACAACCGAGTAAATAAGGAATCGGGGGATATCAACCCCGCTCCTCCATGGGCACCACATCCCAACGGGGGGACCCGCAGAGCGGACTCCAGGGGCACCGTAAACGAGCGGGAAGTAAGCTAGGCGAGCGTGCGTGGTAAACTGGACCCGCACCACCCGAAGGAGCTCTCACATGGACTGAGGGTCCCGCACCGAGAGCAACCAAGTCCCCATCCCAACAGATTGCAGAGAGGCACCAGGCGAGTCCTAAGCAAAACCAGAGGCTGAAGCCCATCCGGCCCCGGGCCAAGAAGGGTTGCACCGCCATGAAAGCGCAAAACGTACCTCCACCAACCCAGCTCCTCCCAGGGATGATATGCGTCCCGGAAGTGTCCTGACCGCAGAACCACGCAGCGCATTCTCGGGGAGCCCTCTCCCCGACCATGCTATCCAGAACACAGGGTGCATTCGAATATGCACCCTGGGGCGCAACCGACCACAGCATGCTCCCCATGACCCTCGTGGAGCCCCTAATGTCCCTCTTAGCCAAGGGACCCCCGTGGCAGGAGGGAACACACCTGTAATAAAGCCCCTTCCCCCATATGCTCCCTAGTAGTGCGCGCAAGCCAAGCGGGCCATATTAGCTCAGCAACACCCAGAGTCATGCGAACCTGGGAGGCACCGCCGGCGCTATCCGCTGCGCCAGACACTGGTACCTAACAAATGAGACATACTGAAAACGAAGGGGGGGAAAGCGCTGTCCTTGTACCCAGACTTTCCTCGTGTTTTTTTTTTTTGGGGGTTGATCATCCATCACCGTGTACTTGACAGTTAAATCACGGTTGTATGTTCTGTTATCTGGCTGTCGTTTAATTCATTCCATGCGGTAATTGACACAAATTTATTTTCTGTACTGCAAATTATTATTATTATTTTTTTTTTTTTATATATCATTGTTGTATTTCCTATTATTTTTACCGTGCTAGGAAGACAAGACTGAACGACGAAGGAACAACGTATGCACACGAAGCGCTAAAAAAGGGGGGGAAAGTACTCACCAGACGCAGAAGGACGAGGCAAAGAAACAACAGTACCAGCATCCATAAAAGACAACAGCTGTGATCCAGGCGCCACCTGCTGGACGGGTCCACGAACTGCAGCAGATTCCAGAGAAGAGAGCAGTGGAGAAGAGGAGAGCCCACGCCCCAGAGGAGACGGCCGAGGTAAGTGACCAGCTTGAAGGGCAACTAGATAGGAGGGAGAACATAGGGGACAGAGAACAAGGCTGGATAAGGGGGGGGGAGGTGCAGGCTAGAAAGAGGAGGGGGGGGGGATAACAGAGAGGTAGACAGAGAGGGAATGGAGACCCAGGGGAGGGGGAAAGAAAGAATAGGAGGGGGAAAAAGGAGGGGAGAGGGCAGGCCCACTAGAGGAGAGAGAGGGGGGGAGAAGGAAACAGAAAATGGGGAAGAGGAGGGGGGACCAGAAGAAGGGGAGACAGCACCCTGGGAGCCTTCCTCACTGGCAGAGGAGGCTCCCGATGGGCAAAGAGACCCCCCAAATCCCAAACGGCGGTACTAAGGTACCCCGTGCGGCCCGCGGGGGCCTACTCACTGCCCCAACCCCCCGCCGGCCGCGGGGGGACCTGGACTGGTGCCGGGTGGCCGTCCGCCGCCCGGAGTGCTGAATCCGCCGCCCACCGCCCCCGGCCCGCAATCCAGCGCTGGCGGCCGGGGCGGATGGTGTGGTAGGGGGGGGGGGCCCATGTGTGTGCCGCGCGGCAGACGCCCCAGGTGGCCGCGCGGCATTAGCAGGCCGCATCCCCGGCCTTGCAGTCAGGGACCGCGCGGCCATAGACACAGCAGGCCGCGCGGTGGTAGGAGGCCGCATCCCCGGCCTGGGAGTACCAGGCCGGGCGGCAATGTAGGCGGCTGGCCGCGCGGCAGTGGCAGGCCTCGTGGCAGAAGGCCGTGCCACGCGCGCGGCCGCAGAAAAGCCGCAAATCCAGGCCCCAGTTGGTAGGCCTGGTTGATGCCTCGGGCCCGGGCTCCGCCTCATCAACCGGGCCCGAGGAGTGGGATCAGGAGAGAGCCTGGCAGGCGGGTGGGAACGCCTGCCAGTGCTGGTGCGGCCCCCAGGGGCAGGGACCGCATGGGAGGCAGCAGGGGAGACCGCAGGGGGTGCTCCAGGGGGAGGTAGGCCGCGGGGGGGGGCCCACACCGGCAGCCATACCTCATTAATGCTTGCCAATTGTTCCCACAGGAGCCGGCCACCATCCACGCTGCAGCAGCCCTGAGGGAAGCCAGAAAGCCTCAACCATCAAGCTGTGTCAATCTGCAGGCCCAGGCAAACAGGAGCTGGGGGACAGGAAGCTGTTTGCTGGCCCGAATCCCAAGTGGCACTGAGGTAAGACCTCCCCCACACTAACTTACACAGAACATAATCACACCCACAGACTCTTTCCCTACCAATCCCATGCATCTATCCCCACACTCCTACATGTGCCCTTGTCCGCTTAGCTGCGCTATCTCCCCAGGGCCTAATCAGTAAATTCACAACCAACGTTTTGCAACAGTGATAACTATTTCTTTCTACTTAAGCAGTTTTGCTCTGAATTTTTCAGTTTGGTTTTTAACTCATTGCTTAGATAATAGACTCCTATGGTAAACATTTATAGACCTGAAGAATATAGGTTTAAAAAATTGTTAGGAAAAATGCAACTTTTTATATTTTAATAAGAATCTACACCTTTTTTCCCCATGGAACAACATTTACCAACTGTTTAGTGAATAGATATTACCAAGTATTTTTCATTTACAGACAGGTATTTACTTACATCTTAGTTATATAGACTGTAACAAAATGAACACTAAACTAAACAATTTTTTTTTGTGGAAAAATAAACAGATTTTATTTGTAAAATTAACAATACAATTGAATGCAACATTATTTGCAGACAGTATAACATTGCTATGCACATTCTAGAGAATCACTCAATTTATGCTTCATTCTCCTAAGCCTTTGGCAAAAGGTTCTGCCAACAATCTGTTTGAAAGTTTGTCCACAGGTGGACCATAAATTGGAGAGTTCCAGTTCCCCTTCCATCACCTTTCACTGTAGTTCTTCAGCAGTTAGAAAAGTCAGTGCGAGCTGAAAAGTCAATCTTTGTTTTTGCACTTATTTAATTGCCACTAAACCCAACATGTCAATTACGTGCATTTAATCATATCTTGTGCTGTTTGCCAAGATGCAGAGCTGAGTTTTGCATCAAGCATGTACTCAAGTGAGATAAGATGCTCTTTAGCTGCTCTTCCACCAGCTCAATATGGCTTCTTCTTCTGGAATTCTTTCACCATGTTGGTCAGGATCTCCAGCCCCTCCACCAATCCATCCCCTGTTGCTGCACAGCATCCCTGGACATGCCACTTGTGACCTTGTATTTTCATCAGTCCCAGAGCCTCGGCTACATCCGATGGTCTCCTGGCACCTGGAAGGTCCTGCTTATTGGCCATCACCAAAAATGGGACCCCTCTCATTTCATCATGTTCAAGAATGGCTTCAAGCTCACTCTTTGCCTCATCAAACCTCTCCCAGTCAGCACTGTCTACTACAAAGACCAGTCCATCTGTGTTCTGAAAGTAATGCTTCCACAGGGCTCTGATCTTTTCTTGGCCACCAACATCCCAGACAGTGAAGGACACATTACGAATGGGTTCAACCGTTTCCACATTGAATCCAATTGTGGGGATAGTGGAGACAGTTTCATTGAACTTCAGCTTGTATAGAACTGTGGTCTTCCCAGCTGCATCGAGACCCAACATGATGATACGAGCCTTGGTTCCACTTAAATTCATAAGAGCTTGATGGAGACTGCTCAGGAGGATACTCATTGCTGTAGTGGATGTTCTCTCTGGGTTCTGTCTCTGCAGATCTTCTTGTAGTGTTTGTCTGTAGCTTTGTTTGTGTCTTGCATGCTGCTCTGCTATATATACTGGAGCAGTGGCTGTAACCACTCATTGTTCTTGGCTGCACCTTATGGTTACCGGGCAACCAGTGAAAACTATTTGAATGGAATTTCCTCATTGCTCTGTCACTCTGTGCTCTGTTGGAGGATTCCTCGAAGAAGTGTTTTGACATCGACACTGTTGACAGCAGCACGGGAAGTGACCTCAGCAGAGAAAAGGTGACGCCGGGCCCAGAATACAATAACTTTATTGCTCTGACACAAGTTTACAAAGTTACATACAATCACGTTTGGTTTTCATATTAGTTCAATGAACACAGTGACTTGATTCTATGACACCTTTGCAAGCAGCGGCTCCAGGAAAGTTAGGTGTCTTACTAATAACAATTTCTGCAACTAAAATGCAATACAGAACAAGAAAAATGAATCTTATGTACAAAGGATGATTTCTGTAGAAGAATGGTGTAAGGCTGCAGCCTATAAATCCTGCATGCAAGTGGCTGGGGGGAAACTGCCCCCTTGCCAATCTGCCCCTGTCTGTGAACCAATATTTTTTTAGTTGAACACTGATTATCTGTGACCTAGAAAGGTGAGACTGAAAGGCATTTCCTCCTTTCTGTCACTTTCTGCTCTGCTGGAAGATTCAGCAACAACCAATTCTGAAGGCAGCGCAGGAAGTGACAGTAACAAATGCCAATAACCTCAGGAATGCACACAACTTTATTGGTAGAAAACAATTCATACAAAATCATGGACTCCACTGCTATCATCTTAAAACATACCTCCCAACATTTCAAACTGATTTCTAAACACATGTACTGTAGTTTTAAAGCCTTAGCTTTAGCATTACTGTGAGTATTATTGATGTGGAGCTCTGGTATACACTCAGACACACCAACAATATGGAGCTCCTAGACAAGAGGGAACTTAGGATAGAAAAAGAGAAACAGAGGAATTTGGGACCAAAATAGGGACTGTCCCTCCTAAATAGGGACACATGGGCAGTATGTTAATATATATGATATAATTAAGTTCAAATTGTATTAATATTTGTGTAAAATAGGAACAAATACATAGCTAGCATCATATAACCAGTTATTTATGACAATTCATTAAAGGAACACTACAGTATGAGGAATACAAATGTGTTTTCCCGACACTATAGGTTAAAATATAATTTAGTCCCCTGGTCCCCAGTCCCCCTTGCTACTTTACTTCCGGGGACCACGCAGGTGCGGTTGGGGCTGAATCAATGCATCTCTATGAGGAACATTTTAGTGCCTCCATGCAGAGCGTCAGTGCTGCACATTGTGGGCACATAGACATGGGGATATGACAGGGCAATAAAGTACTAGATTGCAGAGCTGGCCTTAGTGTCGAGCAACCTGTGCTATTTTACAGGGTGTCAATAGATTTCCCTACTAGATCATATGTGCCATTTTGATGATTTGCACAATATCCAGCTTAAAAGGAACACTATAGTGTCAGGAATACAAACATATATAACTATTTAGGTCCTACGTATCCCTTGCATCGCCGGTCTCATCGCGGCTTGCTCCGTCTCCATGGCTGAGATCATCAGTCTTGATTATCTAAGCCAATTTAATGCTTTCCCATAGGAAAGCATTGGGAGGCTATTATGCATGTGCGGCTGCACCAATCAGCATCTCCTCATAGAGATGCTTTGAATCACACTGTGCAGCACTGGACTAGGAAGCACCTCTAGTGGAGTGACTGCCTTTAGAGGTTGTGACGGACCGCTGGCACTCCGACTGAGTACCTCCGCCAATCGATGCTCCTAGTGCTCGCTGAGGACTCCAAGCACTCCAACCGACACCATCAGCACTGCAGACCCCACTTCCAGCGATGCAACTGCGCCGGGGTCTCTGCTGTTTCCACCCACCCTGGACCCAAGGCCAGGATCCAGCTTCCAGTGGGTGAACCTCTCTTTCCCCAGAGAGCAGGAACAGGAACAAATCAAGCTATTGCAAGAGCTTCCTCTGGGGAGTAAGTGATTATAGCAATCCCCAGAGTGTAGGTATCCCTTCCCCCAAACATGAGCCAAGGCTTAATGCTGGAACAAGACTGATTTACTGGCACACAGAACTCACAATTTATGCAACACAAAACTCCTCCTCTGGGCCAGGCTAGATAATTGAGTTTCTACAATACACAAAGCTCAATTATCTGCTGGCCAGAAACATTAAAATTTTTACAGCCTTCAAACTTCTAAAATATACATCACAGGGACCCCAAAACATGCAATAACCTCATAAAAAGTATATCCTTGGAACCGGGGGATCTGGGTGAACCACATATCCAAAATTCACCCAGATCCGTTCAGTACTTTGGAAAATACAGTTTAATGCAGATTCTGCAGAACATATACAGGCTAAATGAAAAACAATTACTGTATAATGTGTCCCCTGCTGTATAGTCCAAAACCACTGCACGATGTCTCTGTGCACCAAATACTGGCGAGATGGCACCGTGTTTAAAAGTCCAAACAGTGTCTGTGAGTTAAAATGGCCGCCATCCATTGTTCTCACCATGTGCTTCTGATACAGGAAATGGTGGCCACCCAGTAACTCCACAGTATGTCCCCAGATGGTTCTTAAAGGGCCAGCAGCAGCACAACACAAATCCA